CCTCTATACAGTCACAACCTCTTTATAAGCACATTTTCAATAAAAGTTGCATTGTTCCCGACTGTGTGATTATAGGGTACGACTGTACATACATACATACATTATGTACAATGAAGATCAAGCAGCGACGGCACCAGTTTATTGCAGCGGAGGACGACGTACTGCGCGAGTACGTGAAGAAGCAACACGACGAAGGGAAGGCAATCAGAGGGCTGAAGATATACAGAGCCCTCGCAGAAGAACATCCAACCCACACCGCACAGTCCTGGAGGGATCGAGCAATAAGACAAGTCGTCCAAGTGATAGAGGACGAGTCATACGAAGAAGAGTCCGCCGTCGTCTATCGTCGCCGCCGCCGCCATCACAATCAGCAGCAGCAGCCAAAAATTGAATGACATTTTATATTTAGGCAAAATCAAAGCAGCAGTAGTCGCCGGGAATTTGAGGAGGGTAGCCGGTAGCCCGCGCTCAGTCGCCGCGCCGCCATCACAATCACAATCAGCAGCAGAAAAAAAGCCGCCGCCAGGACACATGGCTCGGGCTAGTCATGGAAAAAATTCCGACAACGAAGAAAAGAAAACACTTATTGGCTACAAGAAATTTATTGCGGGAAAGTTAGACTGTCCCAGTAGCCGCCGCAGCAGCAACGTCACAAAAGCCAAGCCGCAGCCGTCACATCAGAAGAAAACGCACCCGCTTCACCAACGAGGACAATAAGGTCCTGGAAGAGTGGGTGCGAAATGGAGGAGAAAGTAGTAGCAGGGGTAGAAATAGACGAGAATTCAGTAGCCGGGAGGTATAGGAGAGCTGGGGAAGTAATAGTAATAAATAATATATTGATAATTGTAATGTAATAATAATGTTGTGCCCGGATTTGACCCATTTTGATTTTTACGATGTGATAATCCACAAACATTTCTGATTATCACACACCGGAATATCAGCGATGATGCTTCTTTAATAACATGGTTATATACGCACGATGGATTAAAATAATAAATATCCGTTTTATTCGTCTTTAATAAGAAAACTAAACAAGAATACATTAAACGTTCAATAGTAATAAAGAAATATCAATGACTATTACAATCATTGTTTGTACGATGACAGTCAATGCCGCAAGTGCTGTCGGCCCTTCTACTTTACAATTACAATCGTAAAAATCAAAATGGGTCAACCCATTTCGAGATCCCAGAATGGGTCAAATCCTAGAATGGGGCACAACAATAATAATAAAAGTTGACGGGATTTATGATATATACTGTACTGTTGTCGCGCCACATACTAATTATACTGTACTACTGATAACGTAAATACTGCCCGAATTTAGACAACGTCAGAGTTACTTGTGTTATAACTTGGCTAAAGTGAATCGACTAGGTTGGCTGACAGTTTTTCCTATTATAGTAGTTTGGTACTGATTATAATTCTTTGGGATCTGCTTTCGTTTTTCGCAATGTAGTCAGAAATCGCTTGAGGCGTTGCAGAAGGTAATAGTAATAATAAATAGCTTTTCCATAGAAAACTGTGCCTGTCGTTGACTAATAATTTGGCGTCCAAGCAGAACGTCCAAGCAGAACAAAGCAGCAAAAAAGCAGCAAAAAAGCCTGGCTGTCTGGAGCAAGAGTGAAGGCAAGGATTTAAAGAACATTAGTGAAAAACTCTCAGAGTTAATGACCAAAACAGAGAGTAATTTAGGTTTGTTTATAACCAGCTACTCGTTCGCAGTTGTCTATCTGCTTTATTCGCGGTTCGTTTTCCTTACAATTAATCGACACTTTCTATCTCTTACTATTATAGCTGACAAAATACTCTAGGAGACTATCGTAATCTTTTCAAAATCCGTGAAGCGCCACTCAGCGAACAAAGATCAAAGAGTCTCTTTGGAAAGAAATAGAAAAAAGAAAAACGTAAAGCCAGTCATTCAAAACGCCCCGAGACTTGTGAACGAAAGATTACTGATACAAGGAGCTTGAAAGATGGGCAATAAGTCTATGGCTGGTACGAAGGTTTTCAAATTATTTTGGGTAATATAGTCAAGTCGAGAGTGTAATAATATATTTTTCCTTCTATTTCGATTCGTTAGCCCGAAGCCGCGCTAGCTGATTCAGCTAGATGCTTTCCGCCTGTTTGCAGAAATAGAAAGTTAAACATCATTACTACTTCTTATTATTGTTCTGCAAAGGAGGTAGTTGATCAACTTCCACCAAGTCTGGGAGCCTCGGTCTCTTTATGCAGGTTTGTAGGTTTTGTTTAATAGAAGCAAGATAGACTGTTGGCGAATAGAATACAGTACATCAGTATATTCATGCTCATACAACTCGATTTCTTTCGTTTCCCTGCTGGTATTCAGGAAAAGAAAAAACTGTTTAATTGGTGGCAAACGCAATGGCAGCTCTTGCGCCTTACACTACCCTTCTCCAACTTCTCATTTCTCAATTTCCCATCCATTCGCATCTCATACATTATACATCTCTACATCCGCCTCCAATCGTATGACCAACAAGTTCGCAATTTTGTTCGGGACTTGGGTGAGTTGGGATTTGCTTGGTAGTTTACCACAATGCTGGCTTTCATTCAGATGCACTTGGCACTAACGAGACCGAGAAAGCTAATGTAAATACTATTATTCTTGATAATCATCTTGTCACATATTAATATTATTATTAGATTTGACAACCCCATCGGCCCCGAAATGAATCAATTTTGGGTGCAGCGACGACAGCAGCTGCAGCAGCAGCAACGACGGCAACAGCAGCAACGACGGTAACAGCAACAGCAACAACAACAGCAGCAATATTATTCATTGCCTAACCCCGTTGTACCTAAACCACGACCAATCCTCGCTAGCACAATTATCACAAGTGTCGCCGGTATCGCAAGTGTCATCAGTATCGATGACATCCAAATGCCGTTAATCCATGAACATGAATCATACATTCCACAGAATCGTCAATCGCGTCTGCAACGCTCACGCGGAAGTCCACATTATAACCACGAAGTGCGTTCCAGTCACCTGTTTCATCTGGACAGACGACACGAAGGTATGGATGGATGATTATGATTAAGAATTATCACAAGCGTAGCAATACGAGTGCCAGAAGCAGTGGAGCTACATGTGACTACATATACAACGTCGGATGCTATTGGTGTGAGTGAAGCGAGATCATTTGGTGATGGTAAAGACGGGAATGAAAACGACTATCTAACTGTTGCAAGTCCTATATTGGACAATAAGTCGATAGGATACCTGTCTGATGAAATGGGTCACAAGTTATTGACAAGTAATGATTGAGTGTCAGAGCGAAAGGTGGGATTCGATGACTGTAGATGGTGAGAATGTTATAAACCGCATTAACGCACATACAATAGCCCTTTTTTTTTCGAAATATGCCCTTAACGTGAACTATAACCTTTTTATGTACTAGGACCGATCATAAACATCTGTTGACATTGATAAGATTAGAGGACCTTTTTTTTTCAAGAAATAAATATCACATAAAATGTCTGTCCTATTCTATATAACAGATAGATGAAGGACATCGATGCCAAAATCCATAAAATCAAAGAGTTTCTCTATAATGAGGAAGACTGGCACAATCTTTCCGGCTCTGTATATCTAACTATCGAAAAAATCTTCCATCCGCGTACAATTGACAACTGTAAGCGCGTTATTCGCAAAGCAGCCAAGCATATTCGTGTCGCTGCATCCGGTCACACCTTCTCTTCCCTCTGCAGTACTAAAGATTACCCCATCGTCACCAACAACTTGACCAAAATCACTATCACCTCACATGAGAAATATGATCGCCGAGGCAGGAGCAAAAATTGGGTAACATTGAAAAAGCACTGAGTGAACATAATCCGCCACTGATGCTGAAAACTGGAAGCCTGTTTAAAGAACAAACGATTGGTGAGGCTGTTAGCGTTGGCGCGACAGGAACACAAATCAGTAGAATGAAAACTTAACGCAGCAACACGCATAATTACTCTATCTGCTACTGTTCCAAACGTACACGACGTTGCCATGTGGATTGGTATTGGAAATACATCAACAGTCCCACCTCCAACAGAGGCTACTGTGCTACACTTTCGTGAAGAGTATCGACCTGTCAGACTTCTTAGACATGTAAAAAGCTACCCAATGGAGGCGTGCAGCCCGTTTAAAAAGTTAGACAACAAGTTGAGTTTTTCCGACATTACCTTTTTTTGTACTGTGTTTGCCCATGTACTAATTGTGTACGGTTGTTTGAAATAATTCAGACATACTCAAGCAATAAGCCAACACTTGTCGTGAGTATTCGTTAGTGTCAAAAATATATTACGTGTATTACAATTAGTTTTGTGCTACGAGAAAATCCAAAGTCAGCGTTGCCTGATGCTCTTAATGGACCAAATCATCTTTGTGTGTACATCACGTTAAAAAATTACTGGTAGTAATAAGGCATGTCATGTTTCAGAAAAGACGACGGAAATACGAGATAAAAAATTACAAGGTAAGCTAACGAGAATGTTAAGATCCATAACGCGTTTTATTATAAAGTGACAACACTATACTTCTTGTAGAAATGTGCGTTATGGAATTGCCTTACGAGATTGAAAACCATGTTTTTGAATGGATTTATTCGAGTAGTATATAAGTATGTTATGCGTGATAGACGTCGTGTATTTATCATGTACCAACATTTGTTCTCCTATTGTTTCAGGCACCCCATCCACACTGGCTGTATAACGCTACGCGTCTGGCGTGGCGTATATTTTTGTCGCCTTCTCGTCGAATTTGTATAACTATAAAACTTGCCGGCTCATTTAGTAGTCATTAAGTCTACTCTCGGATATACAAAACAACAATATGCAGAATATTCGGATTTAGAGATAATCAAATGCTCGGGCGGCGGTATGGATGAATACACGAGAAAATATTGTAGTAATCAATACTTTATTAATGTAATTATATGCAAATCCATAGGGAAGACCACAATTCGATGACAGTGGCGTTGGTGAGGGAAACTTTTCAATAGTATACAAAAACAATACAATTACGAAAAGAATGTAATTAACAGATCCATGTTATTAGCTGTGATTCTAACGAGTAATGAGATGCATCGCAAGTATGAAGAATTGGTTTCCGGAAGCGAAATATTAGAAAGCAGGTAACTAACATGTAAGACGTCAACATAGGAAAAATCAACGATATACGGCTAACACGTGTACAAAAACCATTATTTACAGTTTATATAAGAATTTGACGGAACATTTAAATGCTGAAATTTGTCTTGGAGCAATTGATACCGTTACAAGAGCAAGTTTCCAAATCAGAGCCATGAATCTTCCATCGATGAACTGGTGCGCGCACGTATACTGCAATTTAGTCACACATTCCGATTCTACAATCTCCTGAACTTAGGAATACTCATTTATTGGTATTAACTGGATAAATTTACTTAGGCTATTAGGTTTCCGTGTTTAATCAAACTTTCTGACGTTGATTTGTAATTTAACAATGGTGATGTCACATTTTAGACACCACACATCCTCGACGTGATAATCCACGTTTACTGACAACATGTGTACAGACAAATGTCCGTTATCTGTTGGGACAGCAATTATTTGACGGATCCTGCTGTTTATTCTTTGGGAGAGAGGGTTAGCTAGTTGGCAAATATGACAAACATGCCGAATAAAAGACGTAAGTGATTCAAAGACAAGTTTTCAAGCGTTTATTTATGGTAAAAGATGTCTTACAATTATAGATCCTAATAAAGTTTTTATTTTTTTCCTTTATAAACTCTAGTGAATTCATAGCGATAGATGAATATCACATAATACACATTCGTCTATATGACCATGATCCGTTACACCATTAACGTGTGTTGTATATAGCCGTTTCAGGATTTTATATGCCGCCATCATCCCACCCGCTTATCTCTCACTACTCAACTATACTCGCCACAACTCTTCTCGATCTCCTTATTCGTCCACATGCTGTCATCGGGTACCTCGGGGTGCTGGCGATTGAGATCGATTTCGCGTTTTCGAAATTCAAACAGATCATTATATGCAAACTCAATATCGTACTTAATATTCCGTATCAATGCGTTATATACATATTGATAACAGTTACGCTTCACATGCATGTAAGTTTTATAAGCATAGTATTCTTGGTTGCTTATTTAGGGTTTCTCGCGATGAAGGTTGATTTTGTCGTTTTCTATAAAACAGACATTATAATATGCATATATACACATATATTACGTCCCAATTTCTCAATACACTATCATAATATGAAGGTAATAAAGTAAGAGGTAGACGGACATTTTCCCCGATCCCAGCAACGTGTAACAAGTGTAAAAGATGCAATACCCTTAAAGCGGTTATTAGCCATGAAGTCCAAGAATCTTTTCATACGTTGAGGATTGGATACGTTGTTGTGCCAAACGACGCTCGGAGATAGTCAGCTCGATATATACTTTGCAACATACGGAAGAGTATTTGTGAGCAAGATGAAGGAATTAATGGTAGGGAGGTTGGATTATAGAGCATATGGCGCAGGGAGAATTAAATAGGTAAAAAAGTGATTATGATCCATTTTACCTTGATAGTTCAAAAGAATATTTCTCGCCCAAACCCGGCCACTTCATTCCGAAAAGATTCTTCCCCGAGAACAATCCGAGCCTGGATTGGTTCTATCCATTCAGTGTGGGAGCAGACAATTGTATCGGGAAGAATGTTGCGTGGATATCGATGGATGCCGCGCTCGCTCGTTGCACACTTACGCAAATTTAAATTTGGCCTTTACCGGAAAGCGAGCAGACGGCAGTTGGTGATGTCTACATTTTTACAGTAAGAAAGGGGCATGACACATTGATCACGACGCTGATGATATCAGATATGAGCAAAACCGTTTGAACTCACCCGCAGTGTAAATTATACGTTTGTTTGAGAAACGCAGGCAACAGACAGACAGACTTGATGTCCAAGAATGACGTCTATTATATTGTGAGGAATATGACAGATGAAGATTGACCAGATATGTCATTGTATAGGGTTATGTGCAACGAAATAAAAAAGCGTATCAATATGTAAATCATTTGGATTATCTTCCAGACTATGGTAAGAATGCTTGATTATTTCTACTGCCAAAAGAGAACCATTGTCAGCTATTAAGCTTTCGATTTTTCCTCAACAGTTGCGCGCGTCAATATGCACTGGCTAGGCCTGTCGTCTAATTCGTTGCCAGACTTTTATCCTCAAGTCTTTGACCGGAAAAAAATCTCACCACCCATTCTGTTTTACGTGACAATATCCATATTAAAAAAAAGACAACACACACTATAATGACAAGAGATTAATATAATTGATACAGTGAGGGAATCAGAAAAATTGGTCGTCAAGCTGTTTACGAAGCTGCGTTGGTTTATTTAAAGGATCGTGCAATTATAAAAGATTGTAGTTATGACAAGTGATTAGATAGCGGGTATATTTCCTGTATAAATAATATTGTTTCACACATCCGGGGTAACATGGATAAATTCCCATATTACAAAGCATAACAATGCACCTTACTTCCATTTGCATATTGATTTTTGAACAGCGCTAGTAAATTTAGGGATTGGTGGCATGTAATCCCGTTCATAATAGACCGACTAAGATATACACACATACGGTTAATTATCTGGGGAAAGGATTCCTGTTAAATCCGAAGAAAGTGAGATAGAATTTCATAATACTGTCGAACAGACTATATTGAAACAAGTACATATAAGGTGCAGAAACACTAGTTTCTTTGAAAAGCTTGATGATATTTTAATGAACATATTTTGATTTAAAGCTGATTTTGTTATCATCTCACACATCTTATTCTGTTTGTACGTCAAAATATTTCTGCATATACATGCAGTGTGCAGGGTTTGGCTTGTAGTGGCTGTGTCCCCAGCCTAGACTTTGTTTGTTTAGCGCAGATATCTAACCTTATCTAGTAAAAAATTATTCATACAGCACTGAACGGAAGATGTTACATCGTAGAAACACAAAATTTGGCGCAAATTGAGGGGGTGGGGAAACTTGTCATTATGCATGTTATTAATTTCATATGAATTTGTCCATATACTTTTGTAAATAGATGATGCAAGAATAACACCTATCAACTCCACGTCCACGGTAATCAAGTTGGCTGACGATTACGTAGTGTTACTTCAACACATATGGCGTAGATTCTCAGCTGCTCCGTTGTCTAAAGAAAATATACCCGTATTTCAATACTGTTCTGATAACATGAAAATGTTGCGAGGAAAACCGGGAGAGGTAAGTTAAGCTTTAAATGTTATATACTGTACCATCTCTGCAAACTTCTTTTTTCTGTTCGTAAGGTCTTGTTCAACGGCTTGTTCTTGCGTCAACTCGTTTACAGTATCGGCGGGATCTTCTACTGTGGGCAAAAGGTGTTGCTGTCTCTCTTTGTAGTTGACAGCGCTTCCTGTTACTCTTTGTTTCTGAACATTCACTATCATGGAATGGTTGCGTCCCGTAAAGTCAGATTTTGTAGGAACCGTTCTACGTTTTCGGCCGCGCGTTGAAGACTTTGCATTCTGAGACATGTTGGAATATGGTGTGTCTATAGTGTCTGGCGCACTCTTTATATGTGCAAATGCTTGAAATCGTAACGGATATTATTACAGTCAATTTGAATAGTCTTCCACAGTTATTCTATACACACAAAGATAAAATGCGTCACATAATCGGAAGCCCACAGAGTGACGACTCTGGATTTGTAATATTAATATAATATAAAATAGTTGACATACATATAACATAAATATAAATATAATAGTTGACATGATGGTTACACAATACTAAGTTTGACATGGCACAGCTCCATTCGTTCTTCTTGCGCACAAGCCTAAAAATTGACATCTGCATCAGAAAAAAAATTTTTTTTTCCCCATCCATCCATAATTAAATGTGAGAATGCAGAGGGGAGAGAAAGACAGTGCATTAGCCCAAAAACTGGTTCTACCACAAAGAATCTGCAAGATGTCGATTAGCTAAGGTTCACAGTGATACGCTGAACGAATGAATCAGAGCGAATGCTTCGCGATTCAAAAAATTTTTAAATAAAAAGCTAAATTGTCTTCATATAAAGGAATCATATATTGACCCCAACCGTTTCACAATAAAAAGATTATACAACGACAGATATGTTGATGTAACAATGCTTCTCGGTTATCAAAATGACTCTGACTGTTCCTTATGCCCCCAGTTGCAGGGGGAAAAGCTAGCTTTGCGTCTTCGAAATTGTATTTCCCACAGATTCTCAGTCAATGCCCAAAGATCCCCCGAATATATTATTGCGTAACACATAGTTTATTGTCATAGGTCCTGTTATAATCTACGTTTTTGATTACTGGATTACTGAATTACGACTGTAAGCGGTCCCCAACGTTTGTTGAGAAATTATCCTTTACATAATGATTTATGGACATGTAACCAATAAAGGGACGCTTTGAACTTGCCAAATCTATTTTTAGTATTTCCATTCAAAGTAGAATAACAAAAGCTGTTCTGCGTGCGCTGTTATTAATATCCCCACAGTGTAATTGTGAAAAAAGGGTGTATTTAACAATAATACTATATTTTAGAATGAAAACTGTCACAGCTGAGAAAATGTCCTAATGTGTGGGGAAAGATTAGTAGATTACCTCGGAAGCCGACGATGACGTATTCCTCTCTGAATTTGCTGCGGAACGCTTAGTGTCACCAACATTTCCAGGATCGACAGCGGAAATTAGAACAACGATTAGAATGTAAGACGGGCAGCAAATAGTTGCACGGCAACGCAGTAATGGTAGATTAGGAATTAGAAATTAGATCGATGCTAAAAATAGATCAATTAATAGACAATAAAGTATATAAGCAGCTTAGAAGTCTTTTAGCATCGGTGTGTTCGCCCAGTGTTCAATTTAGTGTTCGAATTAGTGTTCGCACTGTTCAAGATTTAACATTATTTTTTTATATCGAAGACGTTCGATTCCTTTATTTCTTATAAACGAGTACCCATTTACTCTGATACGATAATTCTTTCCCTGAATATTTCGTTATATCCTTAAAGCATTAATCCGTATAACGGCAAGATCGGTCATAATACTTGTCCCGTGATCGATCGAGTGGCATTGGGATAGTTAATTATGATTTCTCAACGCGTTATTTTCTTATTAAGACCCCTCCCTACGCCACCGGTAGAGTAGTTTTAGTTTCTTGAGAATAATTAATTATCTAGGATTAATGTGTGCGATCCGTATACGAATACGTCAGCACTGAAAAGCCTAAATAAAAGGTCACTAACTGTTTGTTACAATTTAGCTATCGCTGAGGTAAACCACATGCCTACAACGGCGCAGCTAGATCTCAAACCGAGACAGTAGTTATCCGCTCTCCCGTGACTATTGCCTCGACACCTTGCTTGTTAGATTTTTGAATCTCTTTTAGTATATGGGTAGTCTGTGTACATGCACTGGTGATCGGAACAACCCAAAAAATGCATAGTTTTGCATACCTTGTCAATTTCTTATCTTCGTTATTGCCTAGCAAAATTATTTCAAAAGTATATGTTAAAAGCAAAACGTAGACTTTGCTAGCAAAATGAGCCACCCACCAAAGAGAATTAGGACCATTAGCTGACTTCTCTCCGGTACAGTTTGTTCCTGACAAACACTTTCCCAATAAACACTTCCGGACAATCACTTTCGACCAGACAGTTTCACTACCCCGACAATTATTTTCCTGTATTTCGACACCAACTATTTATCAAAGATTGCAATAAACTCGATATGTTAATACGCCTGATACTATGTTAGGAATAATTGTCGAAAATAAAGCAGTTTCCATTTTACCATATTACAACTTATTTTTATTACGTAATTTATTATTATCAAGCATTTACTATCTGTCTAAGATCGTGTCATTAACTTCAAAAATTTCCCAGTATATAAATCAGGTTTCACTCTTAATTATGTGTCTCGCTTACACAAATCAAACTTTACAACGTATTTTGCGTATTAAAAAATAAAATTTCATAAAGAAAAGTAGTAAGAGAGTACATAGAGAGAAGAAGCAAAAAATTTATATTATGGATAGCGTTTGTAGTAAATTATCGACGTAGTGTGATACTATAAAATTATGTAAGCATACTAATACAACGTAAAATGTAATCTGGCATGTTATTAATGCAATTTCCATTAAATTGGCGCAATTGAAAAGATAAAACCTCGACTTGTAAATATAACGTAAATTCTCTTATTAATTTCGTATAAATTATAAATAATTGTAAATTGACTACAGTTACCTATCAATGTTCTTTGATGTTTACTTAAGTTGGCTTATAATTAAGTAGTACTATTTCAAAAAATATTGAATAGATCCTCAACTGCTCTGTAGTCTAAAAAAAAATATATGTTTAATATTAAATAATATTTTCAGTAATACGTTGAAATGTGTTCGTTATAAATCTTACCATTTGCGCAAAGTAATGCCTACCCATACCAATGTTCATCATGGTTGTATGAGCATATTCAGCGACTGGTTCTACCATGGGCAAAGGATGTTGCTCCTTTCCGTAGGCGGCATCATTGTTTCTTTTTCTTCCATTTTGTGGATTCACTATCATCGAATGACTGCGCCCTGTAGGATCGAACTTGTTAGGATCTGTTCTTGCTTTCCAACCACGATTTGATTTCAAAGAAAACTTTGTCTTTTCCCTTTGATGAGAGTTTTGAGACATATTGAACGGAAGATAAGTTTACTATTTACGGAGCATTTTTATACAATTGTTAATCTTTACGTGACAGTTCACGTTATATCCGAAATTGGTTATTTATATTATATAAATTTGTATAATAATATTATAGTCTTGAGATTGTCAAAGAGACCAATGAAGTCACGTCCTGTATTTAGTCATCTGTCAGTGAAAGGAGTGCATATCTACACCGTTTGTTATTATGTCAGCAAACTCTTTAAGATATTATCATGATATTCACATGTCTTACTAGATATCAACCAATTCCTTTATGGTGCAATAATCAGTACGCTGATTAGTTAATCGATTAAAAGCCCTCAATTTTGTGTTAATGAATAATAAGTTTTGATATTACAGTTTGTAATAAAACATGTCAAGTTTACCGCAAATTTTATTATGTATGAAAATGAAACCTAATCAAAATATAATTTGTCTTATGCTTTAGATTCTATCAATCAATAATTGACAGTATTCTGCTCATTTTTTTGTTCACACAATTTTGTTTAGTCCAACGTATTATGGTTTTTACGTACGTACTTTGTTAACTCAAAATCGTTGTCTTCCTGCAAATTTACTCTCTTAAAAACTCGGCATCAATGACACGAATAAAAGTATAGTAACACCTCCATAATGCAACCCCCATAAGTGCAATCCCCCTCTAAACGCAACACTTTGCTTGGTTCCAAGCATGGGAATGCAACCCCTCGTTTTTCGCGATTGCAACGGATTTGCGATCCCGCCTTAATAAATTTATTCCCTAAGTGCGGGAAAATAATCAACACATGTAGTGTAGTAGAAACTGATAATAATAGTAATGAAACCTCATGAGGTGCTAAAAATTTTAGAAAATGTAAAGACATGCAAGAGAGTCAGCAGCTATTTAAAAGCTGTTAATAGTTTTTAGAGGAAGGTAAGTTCGATAAACAAAGTAGCACAACACAATTTTTAGTTAAACGATTAGGGATATTTATAGCCAGACTTTTTATGTTAAAGTTAGCTGGAATGTCTAATTAGGAAAAATCTTTAAAATGTCTTTCCTAATTATAATAGGAAACCCTCAAATACAACGCAGCATTTGGTCCCGTGTTACACTTGGGAGGAGTGTCACTATAATTGGAAAAGCTTTTGCTATTTAAATAAATAATAATAAATAAATAAATAGACAACCTTATATTTAACCACTGGATGTAAACGATTGATCTGAACATTTATCATTAGTATTAGGTTGATCAACACAATACGCGAAAAGATTTATCATTGTTTATATGTGTTGCTGTTGTTCGGATGAATAAAGTCTTTAATACAACTTTTAACTAATGGGCATAACGATCGATCAGATAAAGAAAATTGAAGACAGTATGGTCGACAGAGACTTCATTTGCTGCTATACAATATTTAATATTAATAATTTAACCATATATAGTTCGTGTGTCATCACTAATATTATGTCAAAAGAATGACAAATTTTGGTGTCGAGCGGAGAAAGGTTGTTTAGAACAAGCACACCTATTGTGAAAATGGTGCTAATAAAAAAGTGGCCAAACGTATAACTCCCGCGTTCCCGAACTAGGGATGGTGCATCTGACTAATCTCATTACGAAAGCATCAGACATGTGTGGTAGGTATGTAGGAAGCAAACTTTGATCCGGTCAGAGGGTTTTTGATATGAAAAGTAGCGATTTCATTTTGATCGAAGCTTTTGTATGAAAAAAAAAAAGATCCTTAATGCATAGATCTATTATGGACCAATGAAACATACCCGTTAGTTTATTTAAGGACTAACGTATACCCGCGGGTGTAATATATTCCGTACACCTCAGGGGGTGGATATATATTACAACACCATGTGACAAGAATTACCTAACCGTTATACGTAAGAAAAAAAATATTGGAATGAAGACGCTTAAACGAACTTGCCGCAATTGGACAACTCCAGATCAAATTCTGGGTTGCGGACATCTATTAATATTAATTCTTAGAGGAATAAGTCTTATTGGTGTATGCAATTTTATACAGATATCGATAAGTCTATATAATAGCGTTTGATAGTTGCAAACCGTTTTAATGAATAACAACAAACTTGTTTTGTATGTATGAAATTCGCGTTTTCGAAGATTTACGATATTTGTGGGTCAGATAGATATTCATATAACGTATCTTATTGATAAATTTTATTATTACAATATGTAACGACAAGCCTAAATGGTGCTCAGTTTAAGTAAAAAAAAAGTTATCTATGATGCAAGAAAGTGCATTTTAGACTTGCGTACTATTAAAGATGTTTAATCAGTTATAAAAGTCTAAGAAACGCTCTCAAATAATGTGTGTTACCGCGTGATATGCAATCACCGTTATCTACCCCATAATAGTAATTGGATAGTTACCGTTTTACGTTAGCGTGTCTATCTAATTCTCGTACATCTGTGAATTTACACAAACGACTGTTCTTTTCTATTACAGTATTATTGCCATTGAATTAAGTTACATTCTCTATACAGTTCGGGTCATACTTGTGGCTAAAGGTAAACCAATCACGTCACCAGATAATTTACACCGACAAACTTTTTTATCTTATACTTTCAATTGTGATTAAACGATGTATTTAAATATACGATTACACATTGTCTATAGTTATACTGATAGCTGTTATTTGCCCCCACGCAATGACTAAAAGACATAATATTATCGAGAATTGTAAAAGGCACAACTGGATATTATGATATCATGTGATTCAAGGGAAAATAGTACTATTTATTACGATATTTCATAGACAACACCGTGCATGGCTCAAGACATTATTAAATCAATGGACGGGTTGCACCTAATATAAGAATGCATGTATCTTCACCGGTTATTTTGCAAATATTCTGCGTTGTTTGCAAGTAGTCCCCGTTGACGTGATCTTCTCATTACCCGAATAAACATCAACAGTGTCATCCTCATTATCCGTCCCCCCCATCGTTGTTTCTATTTAAAAGTTCGTAATTAGACAACCACTCGTCATCGTCTTCTCTTTGGATATTCAGTTGTTGTATTGGTAAATAGCAATGTCATAAGAAGAGCATGAATGTTGGTCATGATCATGATAAATAATTCGCTCTGTTTCTATATTTTTTTAACAAACACCATGAATTGTCTCACCTAAGTATATAACTATGGCAATAATAGTTAAAGCTTTTACTCCTGTAATGAACCTCAACGTTTCTGCGCTGTCCGCTTACAATCCCAATCCTTGACGAACTTATTTCCCCTCCCCAAAAGCTTTGATCTGCGATCGAATTTCCTGATCTACAAAAAAATCAAATGTCATGTCTTGTTTGCTGCTGTCTAATTTCGTCTTCAAGTCTCATCACTTATTCCAAGTCACGAGGCAATATTCCTCATTTTTCGCCAGACATAGTGACATTCCGACATCAACTATAGTAAAAACAGGGCAAACAGTGTCTCGGCTTGGTTTTGGCGGATACAGGATAAATCGCCATAATCCACACCATAAGGAGGCCTTGATATCTGCCATTAAACAAGGGATTAACGTTATTGATACAGCCACAACCTTTGAGGGAGGAGAATCAGAAAAGTTGATTGGTCTAGCTGTTAAAGAAGCAGAGAGTTTGGGTATTTGTCGATGGAGTGTAAGTGTGGTTCCATTTGTTGGATTGGCGTTTATGTTGGCACAGGCCAAAGTGGCTCTAATATGACTGATGATGATCAATGTAAAAGGATCTTGTTGTAATTACAAAAGCTGGGTACATTCATCCTACTCAATGGGGGTCGCCGAATTCAAAAGCTATTCATAATCATTGCATTCATCCTGATTTTATCCAAAATGAGATTACTGAATCTCTCAGAAGACTCCAAACGGACAGGATAGATATATTCATGCTTAATAACCCGGAAAGGATGCTATTGAATCCGAACAAAGTAAGACACTTGAGAGGAAACGAAATATTACGCGTCATGCTGCAGGAATATTCTAAAAGATGCAACTTTTCATAATATAAGACATACTCTATGAACAGACTATATAATGAAATAGTTGAGACATGTACATATCTTGATGAGGAATGTGCAAAAGGTAAGCATAGTTGAATGTCTTCTAACTTGTTTATCCAAACAAACTTATTCTGTAAACCTTATTCATTGCCATTAGGCAGAATAGGCGGCTACGGCATCTGCTCGAACTTAATGGCCCTTCCTTCATCTAATGATAACATCTCTTTCCCATCGATACTCTCCAAACTAAGCCCACAAAGTCGACAAAACTTTGTTGCCATTGAAACGCCGTTCAACATATTTGAGAGAGAGGCTATCTGGAATGATGGCGGCGAAAAGACATTGGCTGAACTGGCAGAGGTATGAAGCGAAACAAGCGTGAAATAGAAGAAGGTTAAGGAATTAGCTATTTATGCATTGATATTTTGCTAGTTGAATGAAGTGTTCTTGTTTACCAATCGACCATTCCATACGATTGCTGGGGGAACAATTCGGACGCTGGTTACTAGCTCGGGCGAGGTTGAGCGTATGTAATCGCTATATTGTATATTCTCGTGAATAAGCAACCCCGCGCCTCTATTGATCGGAGAACCCTAACGTAAACACAAAGTGTAGGGGGGGATGGGTTGTTTACAGTAATCGCGATAACGAGAATTGACTTATAATCACTTGCCATTATGTAATAATTGTTAACGAAGGGGTATATTATGATGATAATTAATCATGGGGTGCGGTGCTTATTCACGAGAACGTACGGTAACTATTCAATAACCATAAGATGCTTCCTACCTCTATCGCCTCTTTGGGATTGAATTTTCTTCTCAGTATTAATACCGTCTCCTTTTTAGCTGAACAAGTCTTTGCAAAACTGGAAAGAAACTTTGAAAAACTAAGTCAATTAGAAACAGAACTAAACGAACAATGTGCGATACTTTTCTCTTTATCTCTCATGCAACATTTACGATTACATTTTTCGGTTTATGACTAAACATGGAAGTTTCTATATTACTAGTTCCAGTAGAGACATCATTACAGTCGAAATTTGTCTGGGCACAAGTGCTATCTGAAAACTTGTCGCGACTATCCAAGAATCATTTTGCAACTAAGCATTATCTTGAAAAAGATATTAAGCCGGCTATCGAACGTGATCTGGCGGCGTTGGCAGATTATGCCTCGGTCGAAGTATTTGATGAAGAAAAGATTAGATTAAAAACCTGGATAGACGACTACCGCACGGTATGGACTGAATAATGATCTGCTTTTTGAGGAATGAGAGTGATCATATTAATCATTGCTTTTTTTCTCCTCGGTGAATTCCTTAGGAAGCAAAAGATTTAATATATAATATTATTGACTATGCTCGTATTGATCTATTACTCAAGAATCAAGACCTAGATGCCGTTCTTTCACTCATATGTCCTTCACTTATTTCAGAAACAGATCATTTTCATTCCCCTTTGTCAGCGAAAGCTTTAAGAATAATACTAGCCAATTCACGCGTTGGATGCGCTTTGGTTGGAATGCGAAGAGTGGAGTATGTCAACGACGCTGTTACCGTTTTGAAATTGAGTATAGATGATGAGATGACAGTAGAGAGGCTGGACGATATTTATCAATGTCCAGCATTGCAATAATTTTGTTCAGTAAAACGAAGAAATAGTCAACGTGGACAATTATAGAATGATTGAATCTCACACGCTTTGACTAATAAAGAGAGTATTACAGTATAAGGAGCGACATATGTATCATGATAAACCGCATTTTTCATGTTCACGAAATGTTCCTGGAACATAATTGTCAACCTTTCTCATGGCCTTTAGAGTAAGTTGCAAAGGAATGTATTCATAAAAAAGAAAGTGGTAGCATAATGGCTTTCTTGGATCATTACTGTTTATTAATAGCGAACCAGAACATTTGCATAAGCAATGTATAATTGCGAGTTGGTTAGTGTTCGGCCATCTACTCATCACCAATGTTAATCAGCTTTCCCGCCGCTACAAAGTTAGTGGAACACATAACCATTCTGGTTATATTTGACAGAAATCTTTGATTATCATTCGCACCGGCGCGACAAACGGCTGGCAACTAATTTTGACATCACGTGTAAAAAGTTTGCGCAGGCTGAAAGGCACTTCCGTAAAAAGGTGGAGTTAGGAACTAATCAAGACAATTAGACTAACCAAGAAAAGTTTCAGAGCAATCACTTCTGGAATACTTCTCTCATAAGTTAAATCGAAAATGGAAGTCAAAACTTTGTTATACGAGATGTCACATAAAATGATCGAAAATCCAAAATTAGGTGCATTACACTAAGAAGTGTATATAACTGAATATGAGAAAAATCTTGCGGGAGAAACAAGACGATAACAAGGCATATATGCATAATAAACACGGTGAATTGCCAGGTACCTATCGTATACTATATTCTTTGCTATCTCACATGTCTTCTCACTTTTTGATACGCTCGTATTTGATAAAATTGGAAATACTGCCAGTAAATTTCCCCCGAGTGCAACGTCTATTGTTTTTCGAATATTTTGTGATACTATATCTAGTAGATTTATCAGTATTACAGGGAGGGGGGGATCGCCTACAATCGGACCCCTGTTATAACGAATTTTTGTTATACCGAAGCAAGTGTTACTTCCCCTTTTTTTAATATTTAAATTTGATCGTTATTACGAATTTTAATAGTAAACCTCGTTATTCCGTTACCGAAGTTCGGTTGTACTAGTCGCTTTATAACGAAGTTTATCACGTGACACAAAATTCAGCATGGTGATTAATTATAAAATTTGTCATGGTGTAATCTTCCCACTGTCTTGACTAAAGATGCCATAACCGCTTTCAAAAGTACTAAATAATTGTCAAGCCATGATAGAAAAGAAAGAATTTAATTTAGAATGAGCTTAAAGTCTTTGAAAAGGAAGGTGGAATTACATAATGTTACAAGCAAAAAGCAATCTCGAATAGATTCTTTCTTCCTGTATATTTTGCAACTAATAAATATTGCTTACGAAAGCCTCGATATACCGAATATTACTTGATTTTAGGCTAGACTTCGTTACAAAGAGAGTGTTTGTTTTACCGAATTCCTCGTTATAACGAATCATATATGACTCCCCCGTGCGGTATAACGGGGTTCGACTGTATGTAAATGTAGATCCGTACATTTCAGGGCATGACATACTGCATATTGTGATCGTCGATAATTTATTACTTCGAGACGTTAACAATGATTGATATAACAAATCTAAGTTACAACTATTATTTGTTACTATTGTATGATCCTGTTATACTGGTAATTCATTACACGATTTAGAACGAAATCTAAAAAACCAATGCCATGTTTTGACTAGTCGGGAAAGGTCATTATCTAATCAAACAACAATAATTAAATTATCGTTCGAGATACTCTTGCTTTACCGCAACTACGGGTCGTTACCGATCTATTGCGCTGACAACTACCGTTAAATACAGCTACGGGTCGTTACCGATCTACTGCCGATAGTTAAGTCAAAAAGCTTAGTTTCGCGACGATAGAAATAAAAACAATAAAAGTAAAAAAATTTCGTAATAATTAAAGAATAATGAATAGACCGATCGTTTATTATATCCGAATACTTCAGTATCAAATATTATTTATTTCACATCAAACGTACAACATCAACATGAGAATTTTAGACGGTCGGGGAAGGCTTCTTATATACATTTTGCTGTCACCAAAATCGCGTTACTTTTTCTACGCCACAGAGCGCGTATTTTGTAACTTTCCCACACTGTCACCATAATCGCGTTACTTTCTATTCTTAGCTAAACTTTGTGTTCAAGTTGTCACCAAATTTTCGTTACTTGCGTTGTTCTGAGTAATGTCTAATTAATTGATCGTCAGGAGTATTGTTTGATTGCTGAGGAAGTTTTACCATGTGACTTGCTTATCGACGTCAGCCGATCAGCTCGCCGTAACATACTACAATTAGAATTCTATGATACATTAATAGGTTATAATATAAATTTAATAATAATTTTTTATTTTTATTTGACATCTGGATCACTAAGCTTAGAAAGGAGAATATCTAATAAATGTAGGAGCAAATAAACAATCAGATTTAAAAATTTTAAATGCTAGTAATGTATTTTTTTTCTTAACATTATTCAATATAAGAGGCTGGTGACTATCAAAAGACAACTTGAATACTGACTGACTCATAACTTTGACTGGACTAGTATAGACATGAAAGTATGACGTCTCCAAGGCAAATAGATGCTGGGGACAACAAGAGTAATTTCAACCTTCATTATTGAAAATTTATTATTATTATTATTATTATGGGCACAAACATTTGGCAGTCATGTGGACTTTTGAATGTCTCTGATGAAGGTGTTTGATTCAAAAGTAACTCGACATAAACAGCTGTAGTGATCTACTGTAGTTGTGCCAAAAATAATGCAGAGAGCCTAGGTATTGGGAATTGAAGTATTGCTTAAATTTAGTGACACAGCAATAGAACTCTGGAACACATATATAACGAATGGCAGCAGTCTCTACTTTGCTAACAAAGTTGATGTGTGTTAATTGGACCGGTTATAAAGGCAAAAAAAATCCGGTATATATAGACAGAATTTGACTGTAATACTTTACGTAAATACAATAGTAATAGACAAGCATGCTTTGTGCTTAATATTAACATTATCAGATTGATTTTTGAGAACCGAGTGAATAAAAAGCGTAAGATGATCGGAAAATACAAAGCCACAGGAAATGATAGAACCGATCAAGACGGAAGCATAACATACGGCAGTATTGTATCCTTCTATGGCATAATTTACATCGGAGAAACGCGACCTTTTTTGTTATCAAGAAACGAATAACTACTAATTATCGTGCCTCGAAAGGTGGGAATATCCTACGTTACATTTTTTGCTGAATAATATATTTTAGAGATTTAACCATGCCTTCGATATTGGTTATCCATTAGGGCATCTAAAGTCAATATCATGTAACAGTAAATGCTTTCAACGCAGAAAATATCGGTCCTTTTCTTTTCTTTTTCTTTTATCCTTGAAAGCATGTTGTACCCAACTGAAAGTTTGCCTGTATCCTTGAACACAATCACGTGAAATATGTTGACTTTATGACATATTACTGCGCCCTCATATTTATTTTTGCAAGTTAACAATGCCAAAGAAATTCAGAGGGGAAAATACCAGGGGTGAGTTTCCCTGACCTTTTGCCGAACAACGATTCCATTCGTGTTGTTAACAATTTTAATTAGTTACTAAAGCCAACGAGCGTAGAGCTGCTCATCGGGCAGAAGTAAATGCGCAACAAGCAGCAGAGCAGGAACGCCGGGAGGCAGCGGAATGGGCAGTAGGCTCGAAGGACACTTCGAAAAGAGATCTCGAAAGGGCCAGAAGGGTATGTTTTTTTGCTTGCAGTAATCTTGTTCGTTTCTTAGGCTGTTATCTGATGACGAAGTTGTAAACAGGAAACTCAACGAGCTAGGAAAGCAGAAACAGCAACATTGTTGGAACAGGAAGAGAAAGATCTTTCAAAGAACAAACCTTTACTCGGACCTGCGAGGGTTTCTGGAGCGGAGGTTAGGAATGGAGAATGTTTGGATTGCTGTCTGATATATATATTTTTTTGTCAATTAATGCATAAGCTTACTGATTGTATAAATATGTTGAAATAGAGAAAAGCAGCAAGAAAGGAACAGCAAATAGAGACAGTTGCCCAAGAGAGGCGGGAAATTCCGACATACGCTGCTTCTAACATTGATGATGCCTTAGATCTGTTGGCTCTAACAACAGAGTCTTCCATTCCAGCTGGCAGTTCAACAGGGCCTGGAAGCACATCTAGTGCTATCGACCGGCATCCGGAGAGACGTTTTAGGGTAATTTATTTTGATAAGACCGGCTAGTTACTTTTTTGTCCTTATCAACTAACCGTAATGTGATTCGTTAGGCTGCTCTTGCTGCCTATGAAGAACGTGAAATGCCAAATCTCAGAAAAGAGTATCCTAATCTACGACGTACACAATTACGAGATATGCTGTACAAGAATTTCCAGGTTAGTGCGTTTTACGGTCGACTAGTTTGTTGGCGTTTGAACATGCATTAAATTTTTTCATTATCTTTCGGCAGAAATCTCCCGAGAATCCGTTTAATCAAACCAACGTATTACGGTATAACGCGTCTAAAGAAGAGGAAGACAAGTTTATTGAGACGACGAGACAGGGACTTGAGGATCGATTGAGAATAGATTGATGTGACTATTCCTCCCTATCAGTCTAACGACATGCGTGAACCATCGTTCATTGCTGAGGACTCAGAGACTTGGCAATAAGAGTCAACAACAAAGATCGTAGTACTTATATAATTGGATAGAATTCTCGCTTCTTTCTTGAGCGATCACTCATCACGGGGGCATAAGTAGTCTTGTATTGATGTAAGTTGACGCCAATGCGCGGCCAATACCTACCATTTTCCACTTGTGTTAATATTCATCAAGGGAAAGAAACATTGGAGCAATTATATTCTATAACTCGCTTAATTTAATAATGACAATGCCTCTTGAGGCCATAATTGTTCCAGCAGCTGTTCGGGTCAAAAGAAAAATAAATTATTCCATAAGTTCACGTGAAACAAAATATTATGTATTACATAGTTCATTATCAACAAAAAGAAGTTTTGAAACATCGATAATATCAGTCATTGTCAATGTATAACTTGATATTTTTTACAATGTGTATAAACATTCCGTTGTCTATATAATTCAGACAGAAATAAAAATATATAATACACGGGAAAATAAAATAAAAGGAAAAGAATATAACATTATGTATCCATAATCCCAAAAAGCTAATTCGTTACAAGTCTATTGCGCCCGCTGCCGCTCACCCCATATAACGAAACATATGAATCAGTAGCTCCTGCTGCAAAGTAAGTCTGATGTCCAGCTAATGCCAAACATGTAACTTGAGCACCCCAACCTAGGAAGCCTGTGTTATATTTTGTCGTTGACAGATGAAGACCACCGGTATTGTATAGCTTGATTGTCTGGTTGGAATACGCACTATTAAAAGTAGAGACACAAGCATTAGTTAATCATTAATGAAAATGCATGACTAATTGTAGGAAAGAGTCTTTTTCAAGACAAACGAACCTCGCAATGACATTAGTATGTTGATGAACGTCCATTGCTGCCATTTGCGCCAGATTATTATCCGGAATCGAGACTTTGGACCAATTCGTTCGAATATCCCATACTTTTATCTCACCAGACTTACTTCCAGATACTAGCTCTTGCGCAGAACCTTTCTGCCAGACAACGTTCACTATAGAATTCTTATGCTCTTTGTTAACCAGTGTCATGGCATCGTTTGGACTCACTCGGCGGTCATACAATCTTATTGCACCGTCTGCAAAGCCGGCGACAAAAAGATTTCCTCCATCACTGGTCAGACTGGTAACTGCACTACCAGTCCGAGTAGGAATGTCCTTAGAAAGATAACTTTGAATAAATCAAAATACCAAATATTTCCATACTCAATTCAAAGCATTTCTACTTACAACTACGTTGAGTTCACGAGGAGCATCCCACACACGTATGACTCGAACGTCACCACCAACCAGTAGACATCCATCCCGTTGTTGCCATTCGGCAACTATGCCTATTCGTTGGTTGCTGGAAAGCAAGTCTGGTATTGCTCTCCACGATGTGACCAGTTCGGTTGTTCTCTGTATGCTTGTGTAGTCCCTCCAGATTCGAACGGTACCATCATCTATGAAAGATTAGCTTTTAAGGACTCGTGTCGTTCATAGTATTTACAACATAACACACTCTATACCCACTTGAGCCGACCAGTAACATTGAAACATCATGCTCGTTAATAAACTTGAGCGCTGATATGCTACTATGACGCGGGTTACAGTTGGAAAATGTATTTACTCGAATGTGGTTCTGCCAATCCCATACGCTGTTTGGAAAAAACGTCATTGTGATGATAAATATACGTTTACGTAACGTGCCATAGCAATAATACGTTCACATAAATTAAAAAGCAAGTACCTGATTGAGTCTTTATCATTAGCAGCAATTAAATGCGGTTCGTAATTATGAAATAATAATTTCATGGGCACAGACTCGTGATGGAATAAGGCGACTTGTTTGTTCCATTTACTCGAACCTAATAAATCGTGAGAGAGAATGTGAGACTTTCCATACATAAAGATAGTGCAGCCGCATTATATATATTTACTCACCAGCCATTTGTTTCATTGGTAAAGATTCATTCATTATTCTCAAATTTCGCTGATGACGCCATGTTCGTTCCATATAGGAAACACTTCCTGCTAAATCAGCCTCTGCAGGCTATATCAGAAGAATAGTACAAGAGATTAATTGTTATACGGATAAATATATGTGGTGCTAAGCGCTCCTCTATAAAATGCTTACTCACTCTCATCTGAGGTTCTCTGAAGTACTCACAGCTGTACTCAAAGAATTGTGAATTTAATGGTAAATCCACAGTCACAGTTAGTCCGGGTATTGCCTTATTCAGATAATCACGTAGACTTTCATTCTCAGACGCACTCCTTGCTTCTAGCAGTTGTTTCACTGTTAACACAAGTCCCGGATCGTTGTGCTTAAAGGCCAATTCGTGAACAAAATCAACGACACTTGCTGCTAGCTGAGCTACTTCTGGATCCGGATCTCTTGATAAATTCAATAGTGACTGCCACACAATCATATCGACTGAACCAGATCTATTATCACGCACACTTGCTCGCATTCCACCAATACCCGTCATCTTTGCGCGTTTCCTAATGCTTTCCACAAAATCAACCGCAACTCTTATAAAATCGTCGATATAAGTCGATACAATACGCGAGAGTGTAATTACAAGTTCTTTTCGTACCATGGGCGAACCATCATTATTCGCAGTTAAGGTAGTAATAGCAATGTTCTGGTGAATATTTAATATCTGCTCAGTGTGATCTAAATTTCCAATAAATGTACCCAACGCATACAATGCGGCTGCTCTGACTTCAGGTACTGGATCAGTAAGCAACTCGAATAATTTTTGATGAGCCTGATTTTCAATCCCTTCGCTTTTGGCGTCCCGATATCCCTTCCAATATTGACCAATACATAAACAAACCCATTGGCGCAATAATGGATCTTCATCTGCGTATCGAGCTAAACAAGTATTCAAAACGTTTTCAGATTTGCAAGCCATCTGACCCTGACTGAAATTAGTACAGAACATTGCCAAAATAAAAGCACACATTGCTCGGTGCTCAGCCTCATTAGGTATGTTTAATATACTACTTGGAGAAAGTATATTAATAAAGTATTTATAGCCATTATCTCTCAGAAGATCCTGTTGACACGACCCATCAACAGCTAATATACGTGCCCAGATAAACACCAAAGGAGGTTTCAAATCTGCTGCTGGACTTTGGAGCAACTTGAGTACATATGGAAATATGCCAATAGATAATGCGAGATTCACAGCCCATGGACCAAGATCCAAGAATTTGCTCAATAATCCTAATGCACGTGATCTATGCACTTGGCTCAACAAAACCTGCAATACAATAGGCAACTGCTGAGGGGGTTTCTGATAAATAGAGCCTCTTTCCAACCATACGCCAAACGCAGTCAACTGTTCGTCAAAAAAGGTAGAGTGCTGGTACTCACACTCTCCCGATAACAATACTGGTAACTGTCGCAAACATACATCCACAGCCAAGTCCCACGCATCCCACATAGAATGATCGTGAGTAGGAGGCAGTTCTGGATAAGACATTGGATTACACTGGTAATGTCGCATTATTCGTTCGGCGAGTAAAAAGTTCCTAAATAATGCGGCAACCATAAGATCCTGCCTAAAGAGCTGCTTGAAGAGATCGCCTCGAAGCACATTCCATGCAATAGTGTCTGTGATCGCCGTGAATATCCAATTTAGTTCACCCAGAGGAGTCTTACGATCTTGTAGTTTTCCTGGCAGCTTCATGACCATTTCCACGGTGACTGGGGAAGGAAGAGCTCGTTGCAGTACAAAATATCGTAACGCGGTTTCGATAGGTGAGGTTAAACATGATGTGAACAGATCAGCTGGTAATTCTGGATGTAGTGGCAATGATTCGTTGGGTCCGCAGGCAGCCAGCTGAATGTTCATAAGTGAGGGTGGTACAGTACTTGGACCTGAGGTTCCCCGTGATTCACGATATTTCTGCTCAGCAAATTTGTTAAAGTTATTCAAGATATTCCCTGCCGCAGAGCAATCATATACATATATACAAGGCGATCCCAGCCACGATTGTAAGTCTCCTAGAGAAACGGGAATATATTGCGTAAAATTCTTATTAAACACCCAAATTTCTCCACTTGTCGTTGGTTTAGGTACTCCATGACCGTTATAGTGGAATAGTACTCTTTCTTCTTTTGCAGTCTTCCTTATCTTTAAGCAGAAATCCCGTACTTCGTTTACGGCAGGATCTAGATATTGCTTATATCTGGTTCGCATGCTTAACTGCTCGTATTGTGACTGAAGATTCTTCCCGATCGCATCGAGTGCTTTTGTTGGCGGCAAAGTGAAGGGATCCACCCAACACTCGAGTTTCGCGCAGGGGCTGGGCTTTACAACGTCCGGTGGGTCTACGCCTATGTTAAGACATAAGACGAGAGCCCCAGAGATTGTCTTGAGCCGGTCGCGCATTTTCCAATCTTGGACTGCCGGCTCATTACTCTTGGGGTTACCGGCAGTTTTGTGCCGCTTCTCTGTGTAAAAGGTCTCGCAGTTTAGGTCGTCCAATTCGCTTGTTCTTAGAGACATTTGGGTAACACTACGTGAGAGGAGCTTTTTCAAAGCGTCTAAGGTCTATGATATAATTTCAATGAGAAAACCATCGTATCAAATAGAAAAAAATCTATTGGAATCTCCCTTTTTCTTTTGTCATTGGTTGGATGCTAAAGGATTCCATCTAAACTTTTTGATCGGCCAATCACATGACTATTTGTGAATTGGTACACGTATACAATATTTTAATTAGGCAGAATAGGCATCTCTTTCCCATTGATGCTCTCCAAATTAAGAGCACAATTGTCTATTACTATTTCATTGATGTTTCGTTAGTTGCCATACGATTGATTCGGATGCTTGTTACTACTACTACGTGTATTCCACGGAAAATTATAAAAAAGTGACGTATGCGTAAAGATGCTCTGAGCCAGACTATTAATATTAATACCTGACCTGCATATCTAAGGCTATTTGCTGGCATGTAATTGTCAATCGAATTTCTAACTACCAAATCACATGATGTTAAATTGCCAAGAAAAACGAAAGCTCTTGAGACGTATTTCATGATGAAAAAAAAAGCAGACTACTTTAGAAGTTTGATTAGATCGGTATGTTAGTTAATTATATAATCTCATATACTACACTCTTCTGTTAGAATGATGCTTGCTTTCTTCGTCGCAGCGTGCACACCTGCCTCATTATTCTTATCGTTATTGTTATATGCATCCCAAATGTATAATATAAACCGGCGAGAACGTCTACTTTTTATATATCTCGCTGACTGCTGTCTCTACCAGCCTTTCCACATTAAGTTATGTGTTATATGATTTCCTTGCCTTACACTCGCTTTTTACCTCTCGTGTTTCTTCTCCTCACCTAAATCTATAGTCATTTATCGAACACCCTTACGGGATCCGTTCATTTCCCCGACAATTATTTTCCGACAATTCCTGCTAACAAATTCAAATGGAAAATGGTAGACTGTAAAAATCAGCCTGTAAATAACCTAATGTCGAAATATTTATTGGGAATAGTTGTCGGGAAAATGAAAGTGATTGTCGGGAAAATGAACAAGACCCTCACATACTAATACTAGTTAAAAATTAAAACAGAATCAGAACATGGAATTAATCCATTTTTCAGGATTCACAATTCATATGATGCTTGTCGATACTTTATACACCACATTCTCCTTGCTAGTATAGCTTTAAATGATGACTTTCTCGTTGCGGTTTGCTCATCGTAAATCGTTTATCATTGATTCGTTTGAAGATATTAGTTTCGCAAAACTACAAAAAGGGGTTCGAGAACAAGAAGATGAGTAAATAATTAAAATTTGTGGGAAGAGTTGGGATACCCGGATATTGATGAATTAATTCACGAGGCTGTCTTTTTAAGGATCTTTGTAGGTCCTAGTTTTATTGTGTGTGCTGAAATGTGTATCTATATATATAGTAATAGTAACATTCTTTATTATCTGCAAAACAGGATTAATATTACGCCTACTTCATGCCAACACTTAAACATTTTTTCAATACAAACCTCTTAAGCAGGGATGTGGAGGAGAATTCAGGAATGTGATACACTGGCATTACTCCAATGCTCCAGCAGCAGACTGAGTTCGATTAGTATTGCTAATTATGAAAATATATCACCCAAAGATTTCGCGGTGCTTGTGGCTTTTTGACACAGATGTCAAAGCATTGGTCACAAACTTTAGTTTAGATGAGGGTTATTATTATGCAGATCTCATGAGTGAATTGACAAGAGTAAGAGATTTACAAACACTTGATGAAAATCTGCCCTGCTGTCACTCATTCCATTCAGATTCAGTAATCAAGTTTCCAAACTCTGTCTCATTGTAGATTCAAGGAAACATTATAGTGAATAGGAAGGACGTTACAAGTTCCCTGATCTCTTTGTTGTCAAACATTCACCAGACTCTAGGGAAAATTTCACCATAATAATAAGGACAGTTCGGAACTTAATACTATGTAAGTGATCTTGTTATTGCACTATCTGGGTACATTCATATGCACAATGTACAATGGAGGTCATCAAATTGAAAAGCATTCATAATCATTGCATTCATCCAAAATGAGAGCATAATTGAACGTCTTACCTCAAACGAACTCATTCTTTATTATGCAAACATCATCCCCTAACTGTTATGTTACGTATTTGACTTTCCATCATCTTATTCACAGATACGCTTGACGATGTATTCACCATGCATCACTCCTTTCAACGTTGATGCAAGTCGAACATAAGGTAGAAACGGATAACTTTCTCATTAGAAATCACTTCTTTTGACAGCAGAACCGAGTCAGAGATGCTATAACTAGGAATTGGTTGTCTTACGTATTTTGCGACGACTATGTAGACGCGTATCATAACAGTTGGATTATGAACCGATAAATATGTTATGCGCTTGAAATAATGTCATGAGTTTTATGAAGGATACAATATCTATATCTCTACGTCAATAGAGACACAGGCAGAAACAAGAATAAATATTTTGTGGAAAAGTGCAACGACCATAGATATATGGCTGTCAATATTCTGAGCATTGCTCTCTGATTAAATGTACGCCGAATTACTAATTCCATTTGCTACACCAAACAATTTAGTGCATCTTACTCGTTTAGAGGTAGTTTGTGATAGAGAACTGAAACAATTAATTCTAGCGCAATTAAAAGTTCTAAGCGTTCTATTACTGATTCGCTACTAGCTTACTAAGTCTTTCAGCTAGATCAGTGACACGCTTATCAACAACATCAATATTACGTTGGATCGACTCATCGTTCACCGAGAGCGACGTCTCAAGCTGTATAGCGTATGAAGAAAAGAGGAGAGGATTGTTACAAGACATGAGTGAATTAACGCACAGTTTACTGCCTCAATAATAATTACCTTTTCGGCTACATCGTTCAGACTCTTTAATTCGTCTGTGATCTTTGATTGTTCGCTAGCCAACATCTTGATCGTGTCACTGAATATTGCAGCCTCTGAATGCAACTGTTGTAATGACTTTAATCGATTGACTAATGCCGGAGCAACAGACATTAGAGGGTCCAATTTCTCTAACAGATTGAACAGATAGTTGATCTAAAATGTAATATAATTGATACGGTTAATTTCAGTTGCGAGAATACCGTTAAACGCTATTGCATAAATTTGTTTTTGGCACCTTTTCGCCAGTTTCAAACGGTATGACACCACCATTCGACAGCTCTTTATTCTTTAATTCGTTCACTCTCTCTAACTCTGCAGTTAGAGTTTTGGCTTTCCTGGATATAGCTTCAAGATGACGCGGTTGAGTTAGTAGCTGTAAATGTTGTTCTAATTTCTCGATAGCGGCAATAACGTTGGAATTTGTTATCGTCGGTGACTGTGCGATTAAGAAAATTGTCAGAATTGGCACAGAAACACGATTTAAAAATCTCATTGCGTAAACACGCTACGCAAAGAAACTTACAAGATCCTCGATGTTGTGTCCATGCGCTGTTCCTATAAGTTTCTCTAAAGCAGTTATACGCTCGTCCAAGTCAGTTGTCTTTGCCAGCTTGTGTACTTTGGCGGTATCAGGAGAATAGTATAACTCGTACGTAACAATCTACAATAGACCAAACCGACGTCGGGACTACAATCCGAAAAGATAAACTCAAGTCAACCCTCCAATTTAATCTACTTACATTCTTTGATTCCTCCTTTTCACCCGAGGTCGCACTGGGTCCACTCTCGTTACTTGCCTCCTTCTCATTCGTTCCATTAGTCTTGGCAAGTCCGTTATTTTTAAAAGACTCCAACTGATGAATCAACCTCTTGCCAAGTTCCGCTTGCTTTATTATAGATCCATCTCTAACGTCTAATGGCGTCTCTCCTAAATTCTGGTTAATACGAACCAGATCATTCTGGAGATTTGCAATTTGGGAGACAACATCTGGGTGTTCTACCTTTGTCAATGATGGATCTTCCTGTTGCGAGTAGTTTTGCGATTGAGTGGAATAGAAAAGACATGTCCGTTTATAATTTTTACCTTTATTGGCGTGTAATTATAATTTACCTTGTTTTTCTCGACCTCGTCACCCAATTCCTGCACTTCAACCATTAATCTCCGCAACTTTTGTAAAGGCGTCTCTGGAAATGCTGGTTGTCTTGGCACAAATTCATATTCAGATGCTTCAAGGTTGGGCTTTTTGACATATGTCTTGTACATTTGCTTCTTATGACGAGTAATTCGGTCAGAGAAATCTAACAGAGTAGTGACGCATAAGCGAGTGGGGTGGGTAGTGTAATTATATATGGTCAACATGAGAATAACAGAAACGACGCAGATGTATTATTAGCTCTGGTTTATGTCAAAGTGTAGAGTACCAGTGTCAGTGGCATCGACAATACTATCATTAAACTTGTCTATTCCTGAAGAAACTGATATCTTCTCTCGGACAATGTCCTCACTTCCTTCCTCAGCCAGAATATACTGTAATGCTCAAACCAGGTTAGAGACTTGTAAGACCCCGTAGAAACCAGCATAGTTATAGAACACTAAATAACAAACCCCATCGTCCGAGGCTTCAGGTTCCTCGGTAGCGTCGGGAGTCTCGTAAATATCGGGTTGAGTGTTGTCCTAACAAAAAGGTTGTTCAATTCGAAATTCAGTTATCGATCCAATCAGTATCACTACTACTTCAGTTTCTAGTGTATTAGACTGTTCTCTTTCAACTTACAATATCTGGAAGAGTGCTGTATTTGCCCGACATATTTAAGTAAATAATGCGAGTTCGTTCTCAAAAAATCGTCTCTCCTTGGACGGAAAGTGTCGAGTTAATTAATATCACATGACTGGTATTGAGGGGTGTGATATTGTTGTACAAATAACAGAAAATGGATTTTGGCGCGTGGATGTTGATCGTAATTCCCGCGTATAGTTTAGAGGAGAGATCTAATGTGACACCATCGTTACCCATCGTTACTAATATGAAAAGTCAGAAGAAAGAGAAAAGCTATGACGACGATTAGGGGAGGGGAATAACCATGAAGATGGAAGATATGCTGTAATACATTTAAAGATTATAAGGAAGAATGGTATGGAATTCATTGTTCTAAACGCGTACTCAACGTACTCATGAAATATGCGCCTAAATGCAATATGTCAATCACCCCTCACTTACCTTTCTTGTATGTATTTCACGTGATAAATTGTACAAGTCATTGGTTTACTACTATCAGTTAGTATCGTAATTATAACTGTAAATATTAATGGGGGCAGTTAATATTAAGCGATCTGTAACAGTAATCAACATAATTAATGGCAACTATAACTACCCGCCTTGCATGCTTTCTCCACCAGACACAGTTGCACTCCCATAACTTGTACCCTCTGCTTTGCAGCTTTCTCCCACCCCATCTTAAAGGAAATCGACATCTTGCATCCTTTGTACTCAACTCTCCCAACGAAAAGTAAATTTTAATCATATGCCTCCACCTGTATCATCTCATCATTTTACAGATCGAATATTGTAACAGTCTCAATTGGAACCCTAAAAGGTATTCCCCAAACTGGCTCGAATATGCCGCAGAAGTGAAAACGAGTCGACAGGGCCTTTAATTCTTCTAAAGATATAGTATAAATAATAAACAAATACATGAGAATATTGTAATTTTGGTAATTGAAAGTTGTGTTACGATGTACGCTTTGGAACTAAAGCTCACTTTTCTCGACCAATGATTGGATATCGCGAGTTTGTTACCTTCATTAGTCATTGTTTTGTCGTCGGTAGGGCCTTTTCCGACAAAACGCCTTACTCCCTCTTCCCCCATATAATTTGCAGTCTACTTGTCTGGCAGGATTTTTCCTCTTCCCTTCAGCGCTGGCGTTCAGTGTCTTCACATTTTCATATCGTTGCATATTTCTAATAATAAGACATTCGTTCTCTTTTCTTCTACCATTACAAAAACCTGCTAGGCAAGCTAAACTGTTCACCTCATCTAAACAACTTTCTACCCACTTAATCAATATACCGTGTTCACTGATAATACCCCGACTAGGCATTTTAATAACATTCGTTAAAGCACCCCTCAAACACACCTGACACTGTTGATGATGAACGCCTCGCATGTTTCTTCAACGGGTCGTCGTACTCAGACTAAACGTAAACCTCGTATCACTCCGTCTGCAAAATTGGATCTTAATGGGGATCAACAGTATACAACTCGTAATCAGACATTATCTCCTTCACACAGTCTAGCGACTACGCCTATTGTCGCTTCCAATATAACAGCGAGCCCACCTAAAATTTCGCGTAGTCGTCCTTCAAGTTACTCCGATAAAGACAAGGCAAAATCTGATGACGGTTTCCATTCAGATTCTGATAAAGAGAGCAACCATTCCAACATAAGCATACGTCAAGGCAAAAAATATCCTGCCAGATCTTCTTCATTAAACAAATTGGAACCTTCTGCGCGCATACGTGCTAAAACTTCTTCAGGAAGTATGTCAGAGAACGTAAAGATAGGAAACGCTACGAGCACTGTGTCTAGTCGATCAACAACGAATGATAGAAGTGCAGAGGAAGCCAAACAGGAGAGGAAGGTAAGTCATGTCGCCACGAGCCTACCAGAACCGAAAGGTTTCACGGCAATTTGATGGGAAGGTCTGAAACTGTGAATCTGACATGCTGGTATTAAAAATACGGATCTTACAGCCATCATTTGTTTGTTCCGTGCGATAGATAGCGGATTTAGAAATATCCATCAAGTCTCTCATGAAAATTAACGCAGAGTTGGATGAAACAAACAAGAAACAAGTGATTGAAATTCAGGAATTAAAACGAAAACTTCGAATGTAAGCTTTTGAATATACTACTTTTCTGTGTACTCCGCATTCTCGTTTCTTACAGTTTATCCAAATACTCTCATTTAGGTCTGATACGTTTATGTTTGAGATATACGACGCAACAGAAGAAGATTGTGTATCCACGCCATCATCCGAGGTAATTCTGACGCAAGCACAGACGCCATGTAGTGACTGTAGGCGCATAGATCTTTATTCAAAGTTGTAAACCTAATTTTGCTCCCACTCTCGGGAATCTTTATATGACTCTTTATATGCATCTTCTTTGGCCCAACTCTGGTCTTTTCTCGTTCTGTTTTCACATGATATTGAAGTATGTACAGCTGGATTTCGCGGAAACACAAAAAGATAATGATATACGGTTTCGACGGATATGTTTGGCTATTGATGAGATGTTACAAACGGGGAAGGCTGCTCTTGAACACACACTGAAAATTGGTGGGACCCGAGTCTTAACTGAAGCACAGATGAGTGAGTTCAAACTTGATGACATTAAAAGCTTTTCCATTAACCGTTATCGTACAAATGTTCTAGTCTAACAATTTGTTTGACACAGATATAACGGACACTTTATTCCCTGATAAGCATAATGATGTTGACTCGAAAACTATAGGTGACACGCACTCGGAAGCAGTTTCTGGTAGACGAACACCTACTCTTGTACCAGATTCAGTACCAACTCGATCTCGTTCGCTGGATATTACGAAACGTAAAAACAACTCAAATGAAACGCGTCGATCGAGGAATTCAATGAAAACGTTTGCTTCATCTGACAATTTAATCCTAGCCAATTCAACACAAAATAAATTATCAAAGTTCGATCATGACCCACCTGACACTTCTGCTACTTCTACATCTGCAGAATCGAATGTACAAACCCCTTTGTCATCCAACGAGTCATCTATATCGGTTGATTCGACGCACGAGTTCCAATCATCGCGGGACATTCGAATTCGTGCAATTATCGATGAGTTGTTAGTTATTGTTAAACACCCGTCAAACACGAATAGTCTCACCCCTCCTCAAACGCCTGGACGGGATGGTCTTGGATGGCTTTTATTGAACCAGGATGTTAAGCCGACCTACTTCACCCATAGAGCCAATAGCGGAATAGTAGAATCGTCGCCCGCCATTCCGTTGTTGCACGAATTACAAGATCTCTTGGGGTATAAAAATGATGCAATAGACGACAGAAAAGAGACGAAAAATCATCGTACGAATATGCCTCCTATGGATGTGGGTAAGATTCACATTACGCCGCCTGATGAAGAACATTTGAATGGAGATAATAATCGCATAATGAAAGGAGTGAATGCGACTTCGCGAATGGGAAATCTAAATCAGAAGCAGAAATTAATACGACGGCGCTCCTCACCGTCATTTCGAGCTTCCGAGGAAAGAATGAATACCGTTAGTGAACGAATTGGAAAGGGTCTATCATTATCAGGTAGTCTGAAGATAATAATAGACGAGGAGGATGAGGGAGAAGTAAATAAGGGGATATCGTGGATGTCATCGTTAAGATTTCTGTCTCCATGGAAGGCTGCTGATTAAAGAGAAGATTAATTGTTAAAGAATGATACGGAGGCAGACAATAGGAAGAATCAAAAACATTGTAGGAAGTAATGTGAAATAAGACAAAGGTATAATTGGATTGATTGTCAAAAGACATTTTTGCAGGATTGTTGTTCGAGGTAATGCAAATTTATGTATAATTCAAATATTAAAAAGAAAAGAAAGCGAGCAAGAAAGTCGAAAATTTTTCATAGTATTCTTTCTTCTCTAATTAGATTATAGTTAATTGGGCTTTGTCGAATGTGTGGATGAGGAATAGACGTTTGAGTAAAGGACAGTCTTTCGGCATATTTTTGCTCCAAAATACATTCTACTTGTTTGTCGATTCGTAAATCACGCTTTGTAGATAAGTTCTAATCTTCCTTCAATAAATGGCGCAATGCAAAAAAAAGTTTATAGCAATCACAGATGACGTTGTGACTAGAATTACCGGTGTTAAGGCTCTAACCGACAATGATTGTAGATACGTTATATTATCAGATGTCAACGATGAGGTAGAACACTTTCAGGTCAGGTGACCGAAATTGATGAGATTATCGTTAATGCATATTAGTATTCCGAAATAGGTGAACAATGATCATACTATATTTCAGACTGGAATATAGAATAAATAATTTGGAGAACAATGTATTTTAATGACTTATAAAATGATGTGGACGCACTGTATTGTGTATACGTATAACAATTCAGCTGAGACTCAAGAATTAATTATTGATGTCTTGATCTCTAAGGTAGAATTATCAGTAGTCATATTCCCATTGCAATTAATACAGTGAAATGTAATTAGTACATCACCAAAAAGCAGATGAACAATTTCACACCAAGGTTACACTCGATCAGATCACTTGAAGATTCAATCAAAATCTACGTAGTCTTACACATCTGCGTCAGTTAAGCGCAGATCAACTCGGTCTACTACTGCCTCGTCCGCGGTAAAGTATTAAACTCACGCTCACATGTCGTATTTAAACTATTTGAATAAAATCTTACATTGGACATTTCTTTTGTCTAATCTGGTTCTTCCAGCGTCCGCCTAATATAAAACTATACCTTGTTCGAACTTTCATGTGACAACAACGTCTTGATCAAAAAGTTTGTTTAACTATAATTCAAAAGTGTTGTATTACAAATAAAGTATTGCTATCAGTAGAGGACAAGGATAATGTTCACAATGCATTTAAAATGTTATACTCTGGTAAAACAGACCTAGCAAATATATTGTTTGTAAAATTCCACACAAGTGTTTTGCACCAATATACTTATCAAAGAGGCTAAGAAATGACGTAATGTAATGACTACCCTTTTTAGTCTGTAAGTTAGTCATGGGTAGCGCTTACTTGCTTACGTTATTGTATTGTACAGATATCAAGTATACTATTCTGTAGATGTCTATGTTTTCTCCGTATCTTTAAAATCTGCCTTTAGGTAAAGTTACTGTACATTGAACTACCGATGCACAAAATTTTAAATGAAAATATTAGCACAAATGTTATTTCTCGGATTGTAATTATCTTAACTGTTAAAAGTTTGATGTGTTAAAAGTTGGATGGATTTATTGTATAGAAGACAACAAAGAAACGGCTGTTTACGAACTATCAAACAAGGAGACCACAAGTGTATATTCACTTGTTAAAATTTTAAATAGAATATTTTGAGTATAACAAATATAAACGACATCGCAATATTATGAATACCTTGTATAACCATGATTCTATATGCCCCACAAATTGTTACTACTCCCCATGTGAAGCGTGTAACTGTTTGAAGTAGTTTACGATGGTTGGTTTAATATATCGATCTGGATCTAGTTTATTGCGTCTTGAACTGACTGTCTTGATAAAAAATTTTACCCGCACGGAGCATAGCTGAACGGTCCGTACATGCTGTATAGCGGACTCGGTACTCCATTTATTAATTCGATCAGCAATGCAAGCATGCTTTGAAAAACGCCACACGGCAGATCTTTGGGAGCACAACGAATGAGCCCATAGTAATAGGGAATGAATTTAACAGCACCTGTCAACCTATCACAGAGAAAATAACTGCTTGGCAAGGAGAATCATGTTTCTACTTGGCGGGTCGCAAACTTTATCTTACTGTCTTAATTAAATCAGCGATTACATGACTGTTAATCATGTCTATGAGCAAATGGATTTGGACATGAAAAATGGTTCACAATACTTGATGCTTGCGTATGCAACGAACGAACAGTTTGTATGTACATACATTGCTTATGTCAGCAGACATATTTGTTATTTCATTAGTCGATGTTGTGTAGCCAGCTTGCTTAATAACTTTTTATTAAATACGCCTTATTAAATTATAGTAATAGTTTATTGCCAACTAATTTAATATTAAGTGAGATCTCAGATTAAGTTGTAATAATACTCTATCAGCAATAGGCATTCAGACTGACTGTGATATCATTTTCAAACATCACATAGCGATATATATATAGAGCGAGTCAGACAGCATACATATATCTTCTCCCCATTATGTCTCTTAACACTGACCAAAGTAAAAACGCAACGCCTTTTCTAAAATCGACACGCGGTAGAAAACGCAAAACACCTCCTAAAGACTTGGACCCGACGGGTCGCAACCATTTTATGGTGGTGGAGAAACGAAGAGTAACAGAAAAGAGAGCCGACGTCAAACGAGAGCAACGCCTTTCTAGCACAGTAGAACAAACAGTCAGTATTGTAAATGAGCCGACGCAAAAACCAGCCGCCAAACACGAGCATACAGACATTCTGACCATTAATATTGAAAGACAGGAGCTTGCACTCATGGTAATATTTACAACGAACGAATTTTATATTCAAGAACGTTGATATTGAAGATAAATATACTGTATTTATTTAGACAACAGAAGAGTTGAGGACCTATGCCAAATATATTGAAACGACGTTGAGTATCGTGAAAGCGGAATTGATTAATTAGAGCATTTATGAT